GGAATAAACCACTACTTGGTGTAAATCACTGTATTGGGCATATAGAAATGGGTCGTTTTATAACAAAAGCACAAAATCCTATCGTGCTCTATGTCAGCGGCGGTAATACACAGGTTATTGCCTATTCAAATAAGCGTTATCGTATATTTGGTGAAACTATTGATATCGCAGTGGGAAATTGTTTAGACCGTTTTGCACGTATCATAAAAATTTCCAATGATCCTAGTCCAGGCTATAATATTGAACAACTAGCTAAAAATAGTCAAAACTATATAAAACTACCTTATTCTGTTAAAGGTAAAAAAATATTTTTCGTTTAACGTAATGTTAAATAAAATTATTTAATTTTCAAGGTATGGATGTAAGCTTCTCTGGTATTTTATCATATATAGAAGAATTGGCTGATCCAAGCAAAAGACGTCAAAAACGTAAAAAGGATGAGAATGGTGCAGAACCTGAATATTCTAAAGAAGATCTATGTTATTCATTACAAGAAACTATATTTGCTATGCTAGTCGAAATTACAGAACGTGCAATGGCGCATTGTGAATCAACTGAAGTGAGATATAAATACTTGGATTGATTTTTTTTATTATTACGTTTACCTTTATTCAGGTTCTTATTGTTGGTGGTGTTGGTTGTAATTTACGTCTGCAAGAAATGATGGGTATTATGTGTAAAGAACGTGGTGGTAAGGTATTTGCCACTGATGAACGTTACTGCATTGACAATGGTTTGATGATAGCACACGCTGGTGCTGAAATGCATCGTGCTGGTATACGAATGCCTTGGGATGAATCATTTATAACGCAACGTTATCGTACCGATGAGGTACTTGTAACATGGCGCGACGATTAATTTTTATTAAATTGACAGAACCTTTAAAGTTTTCCAAAAATATGTTTTCGACATTTATGTTAAATAAATAATAATATATTAATAATAAGAGATACCAAAACATATTGATATTATATTTGTAACATGAAAGATATGATGAATTCATTCAGTGGAATTCTTAAAACCATAATCTTGAAGTGCAGCTAATTGATGCTTACTAAATATGATTTTTAGAAGATTTAAACAATCTTTTAAGTATTAAATAGCTTTAGAGTCTATTTTTTTTAAGTGCCACTTACCACTTTCATTCGAGTTTCGTCATCGATTAGGGCCGTAAAATATCTGGTCACAATAATTAATACAGTAATCATAAATTCTAAATTTTAAATTTATCTATTTTTAAATGGCTATAATAAACTTGGTTATTAAAAAATGAATTACTTTAAAAAAAGTAAAAAAGTTAAATATTTCTAAAAATTATATATTATAGAGTAAATAATAAGCCCAGAGGGAACAAGTAATAATATTTGACATCAAATAATTTTTTTAAGGCTATTATGTTTAAAGTTTTGTTTAGTTGATGGTTATTATCTATCAAAAAATTATTATAAAATTGACAGTCATTTAATTATTTGAATTCTGTCGGTCAAGAATGTTAGAGAAAACTTCAGTATTTATGAGCTATGTGAACTCTTAAAGAACAAACCTTTTATTTTTATATAAATTCAACTAATATTTTATTAAATTATTTATTAAGATATTTATTTAAATAGTATTAATTAAACAGCCAAATTTGTCTCCTAAAAATATATTTATTAACATAAAAAAGTAATAGAGCATTGTCGAGCATCCCTTTTTAACCGAATTTTATATGTAACTTGTAAATCATAAATAATTTGAATAATAAATAATTTTATTCATTTAATTCTTTTTCGATGCCGCGCCAGTAACTAGTCATTTCCATTGGAAACAGACGTTTACCTTCGATAATATAAACAGCACCATTTTCTTCCTTTTCCAATGCAGATAACATGCAACGTCCCACATCCGTGACGCTTTGCTTGTTCAAACGATCCAAAACACGATACGATTCATCTCCCATATCAGAATAAAGAATCTTCTCAGTAAAATTCGTGAACATATCAGTAATAGTGGCACCTGGACAAACAGTAATAAATTTGATGCCAGTACGTTGAAGATACATATCGTTCTAGAGAGAAAATATAAAAATTAGTAGAATTATTACATGTAAATAGTTATCTGAAGTATTGGATATCGTCGACATATATATAAGAAGTGTGGGACAACATGATATAATGGAGAAAGTTTTTAGTTATTAGAACTTAATTTCGAATAATTTACACTATACAATAAATATGAAAGTAATCATCCACTCTTATCTAGGTTGTTATATTTAAGCAATGTAATATATAATAAATATATTTCTCTCTTAAAGGAGTCCAAAACAAGTTAGCAAACTTACGCCAAAGCAACGTGTGAAATGTATGATGCCTGCTTTGGTAGATGCATACACAGGAATCAAAAACATAGGATCTAATCCCACAACTGAAGACATATTCATTATAATTCCACCATTGCCACCATTTTCTTTGCTCATGTATTTCATGGCTGCGAGCGTAGAATTAATCATGCCGCCCTTTGAAAGAAATCCAAGATCAATTGCTAAATTTCAGTTCTCTAACAAAACACACCACTTACCAAATTAGTCATCAGTGTTTTTTGTACATCTTTATCGTTGAAGATGCCTGCAACATTCACGACAATATCCAAGCTTCCCAAAGATTTTATTATTTCGGCATATGTAGCATCCATACCTTTTTTATTGGATACATCCATTTTAATAAGCACTACACTTTGAGCTGGATATGAAGATCGCATCTTAACAACCTCTTCCATATTATCCTGTAAATCAATTATAGCTATTTTCTGAAAGGAAACCATGATATTTTAATATCTATACTTTCATGTTTTATAAATCTGTAACATACCGCCACTTCACTAGCAAGCATTTGTTTGCATACTTGCAATCCAATACCACTTGCTCCGCCTGTGATGACGATATTCTTACCACGGAAAGCCATTTTGAGTTTAATATCTTTTATTGAACTGCTTCTTCTTCGATTGCTGCTGGTACCGCCCTGTTCAGTTTTGTAGGAGAAAAAACTTCGTATACCTTGATAGAAATCCACTTTGCTGGTCAATGTTATACTGAATCGATCGCTGATCCCATTCACATTTTTATACTTTTTTGCGAACTATGTAGTTGCGGATATCTGATATCTTCGTTACACATTTGAGTGAGATAATTAAATTTTTTTTTAATCTTTCTATATTGAATTATGCGATTATAAAATAATTTGTAAACGAAGATCTTTGCTACTGATGCACAACTGCCACAATTCCAATCGCAATATCAATTTCATTCGATCGCTACAAAATTAAATAAACACGCTAAGGTGTAAACGGCGAGGCGTTAGTTAGTATTTATCTGAATTAAATGCTATTATTTACATACAAAAGTATTTTTTATTATCATTATTAGATAACCAAATTGTTTCATCTGTTATTTTGTTCTAATAGAAAAAATTTACAAATTGATTGTTGAGGTTGGTTAGGAAAACTTAGCTCGAATTCCCATTTATTTTATTTATTCTCCCATTTATTATAGATTAGTTTGTTTATAATTTTTTTTTAGTAATTGTATAATTAAGATATTTACTAATTGTTACTGAAGCGAAACAATTAAAGATTTTCAATTAACATTCAATCAATTTACAAACTATTTTAGAAATCTCCGATTTGTTTACATTCTTCAATGTAGGTCCCTCAACAACAAAAAAAAATATTTCTATATTGTCTTGAATTAACTTCTACAGTGTTCTCCATAAGAAATATAGACATACTTAGTCCGGTTACTACTCCCTCAACTTGATCACTCCACCGGAGACATGGTCTACCTCTACGCTTTGTTTCTCCAACTACTTCTTTAAATACCTTTTTCGCTAGCACATCTTTATCCTCTTCATTCTTACGACATCACTAACTTATTGTCGTGATAAAGTTCGTACAGCTCGTGATTCAAACAGATGTGGTAGTCGTCGAAATATAGACATAACAACAAGAAAAGTAGTCATATAAGTCCTAACTATAGATTTTGAAGAAAATGAGACAAATTGTCTAATAAGTCGTATAGATTTTAAATGTTCCAAGATGTTGATGACCCTTCGAAAAGTTGTGATTTCCCCAATTCAAGTCAAAGGAAAATAACTTGATAAGTCTATAATAACAGTAACCAATATTTATGAATGAAATTCAGTAATATAATTTTCAAGCTGAAAAATATTTACCATTCAATCGACGCAAGTAAAGTCAAAAGCAAACAATAATGGCTGAATCTGAATACCAAAAAGTTAACTTTCTAAGCCAACACTCGACTATATGCTATCAAATTGTAAACACAATCTATATTTTGTGAGAAGCGCTAAGAGTACAATGTTAAAGTGTTGACATTTCACTACATAAAACTAGGATATGAGATGAAAAACTAAGAGATCTAATAGAAAACATACCAAAGTCCAACCAATAATGAAGACTATATATTTTTTTCATAGCTCTCCAAAAATTCGGATTATTTATAAAAATTGCATATTATGGTTGGTTATTTTACAGCAAATTAACAAAACTCCAAGTCCGAACATATAAGTCAATAACGGCTTTGGGTACTGACCTTTAGCTTCAAATTTGGCAGGGCATAAATTTAACCCTTGGTACTTACATTCGCCAGTCTATTTGTAGACCACTGAAGAGGAGTATTTGCCAATACTCGAAATGGCTGTATAATGAGCCAAAAATTCAATTAATTAAAATAATAAAAGAGTTTGTAATTGTAGCTCACTACTGTTCGAAACCTCTATATAAAGTAATTTAATTCATTTATTTTATTATTATATTCTATTGTAAATATTTTATTCTATTTAGAATTTATTATTATTATTATATTCTATTGTAAATATTTTATTCTATTTAGAATTTAAAAAAAGTTTATATAACATTCAAAATGATGTTTTTCAAACTATCTTTCAATTAGAAGTTTCTGATATCTAACGAGAGATATATACCATACATTTTATTCCGCATATCTTATTCACTGAATTCCATTATATACAAGTTGTTATTTCAATACCGTTCAATCGCTTCTTTCCTAGGGAAACTGTTTCTTAAGCATTTCTCACAAAAGATTAAACTCCGCCTAGAGTTGTAAGCTAGTCTTGTAAGTTAATGGCAAGTAGCTCCATGTCCAAACCGTCACTAAAGAACAAATTCATTCCATCTCTGGTGTAATATTGTCATTACAAAAACAGAACTACAAAACCATCGTCTCGTGACTATTGATGGCTAGTGGTGTCTTTATGAGCTAATACTAGGGAATTACATTTTATTGACTAAATGGACTTCGCATAACTTTACTGGGTATTCTTTTTGTGCAATTAATAAATCATTTATTGCTTTTCATATACATATATTAAATTTTATTGGCCATTTTATTAAAAGTACATACATTTCAATTTTCAATACAACTTCAGGAATTCTTCAATATTTTCAATGTCGTTATTAATAATAAATAAATAAATTCCAATAATTTTGCATAAAACTTTTTCCTCTATATTGTAAAAATTTTGAACATTTATTATTAGATTTTTATTTATAAAAGAACTGTAAATAGATATATCAATCGGTGTAAATAACTCTGTGGTCATTAAATTTTGAACTTCTTTTTGGTTTCAATAGGTATTAGGTATATGTAAGAGGTTTATATATATAATTTTGATAGACATTTAAAAAGTGATTTTTTTTTTATTAGTAGGTTCAGAGGGTATTGCTTCTCTTAGAGCTAAGAATTTAAATGTATTATGTATATGGAAATATATTTTTTAATATGTATTAAATATAAAATATTTATAAATAAATTATTTACGTATATATGCAATATCACAACTTAACTTTAAAATTATATTAAAAATTATTTAAACTAAAAGTAGATTAGAATTTTTAAATTAAGTTCGGGAAAAAACCTTGTTTGAAAATGTGGGTTTCTTAGATTGATCTTGCGAATTTGAAAAATTATTAATAATCATTTTAATTTTTTTTTTTTTTTTGACTAAATAATTAATGTGCAGTATCGTATGAATCCTTGTGTTGATAGCCAGTTACATAGCCAGAATCATCAACCAAATTTTTGCGTCCAGCAATACCTTTACCTTTGCCAGTGGCATCGAAACGTTCTTTATGAGATCCAGTATATTTGCTAGTGTCGGTGAGACGCTCCACAGCTGAAGCAGCTTTGCCAGCCTGAAAAAAATAAATGGAAAAATAGTGTTACATACTTTTCTAACTTAGAATTTAATAAATTTTTCTGTACTTACGGAAACTTGTAACACTCCTGGTGCACCACAACCGGACATTTTCTTCTTGATTTCATCGAGCTCAACTTTTCTAGTTTTTGCTAAATCATCTAAGAACTTATTGTAATCGCCATAGGAGATTTTCATTGCTTTGAATTTCTTGAAATGTATACCAGTATCGGTAGTTGTAATTTTCTTATCGATAACCTTGGCCTGCTTCATCCATTTGTCACTCTGCGATAGTGTTATCATCTTACCATCTGATTTAGTATCTCCGAATTTTGAGAAAGCCTTAAATTGATCTTGAAAACTAACTTTAGGTTCTTCTAAGGCCATTTGAGCCATTTCTGCAACAGGTCCGTCGGCGGGTGCAGGTGAGGGGCTTGTACCATTCTTAGCTTCATCAGACATGCTATTAGATCTGCAAAAAAAATAGTGTTAAAAGATTATTTTTTTTTTTCATATTTTTTTATAGTTCAATAAAAGTTCCTTTCCATGAAATATTTATTTTTATTATAAGTCACGCACGCTACTCAATGTTTTATGGGTAGAAAGGACTTATGTAATTCTCACCTATAAGCTGCTACACGCACATACATTATTGTGTTTTTTTTTAAAGTTTACTAGTTACTTTGTGGATAAACTAAATTGTAATTGACGTAATTCTTATTATTGTATTCTAGGACGTTGTGTGTTTTTGGTGTGTAGAAGAATTATATTTAAAATTAGGTAATTACTCACTTCTTCAGATTTGGTATGATTTCATTGTTCATGTATAATTATAAAATAAAGTAAATACATAGCCCTTAGTTTATTTTTGAGGCAAATCAGACCTAATTACAATTCAGAATATTTCTTTTAAACATTTATTTAAGTAATATTTTTAAATAAATGCATATTAAAATAAATACTCTAGTATAAAATAATTAATAAGGTTTTGAAAATTATATTTGAGATATGCATAACATATATTTGGTATATTTCTAAATCTCACACCCGTTATTATTTAAAAAACTAGGTTTGTTACTTGTTAGGGCTATTGAAACCCTTCTTAAATGTAAACATATTGGAAAGTACTGATAAGGAAGCAATACGAACTACTTAATAGTGTAGTCGAAACAAATAAAAGAAATACGTTTCATATTAAGTATAACATCCATTTCTTTGTATTTCGAATATGGATGTTTGAAAATGATATAGTCAATAAAAGCAAAAAAAATAGATTTCACACCCCACTACCAATTACACTACAGGGTCAACATATCATATATTACTGACTGATCATTAACAGTTTATGAAACAAAAATTTAATTGTACTTGATAATAAAATATGTATTGTAACTAATATAGATCGCACACTAATTAACATTTTATGAGACAATAAAATGATTGGCACGAATATTAAACAAAATATATTATCTGACTGTTAGCTTAATACCCCAGCAAACATTACCTCTAATATGTGGTATACAATAGATTGCTTTTGACCTTTATGTAAGAAAAACCGTGTTATAGTGCTTAACACAAAGTCTTGAGTTTTATCTTGTGTCTATTCTATTCTTCATAGTATGCGTTTCCCCTAGTGGTGAATAGGGCCGCAACGATTCTCTTAAACCGCACTCTGTTAGGTGCTTTTCTGCATATATGCAGAACTATATATATATAGTTCCATGTATAGTGCTCTTCTGTCATTTCTCTTTCAATTGTTCTTCTTCAAGTTAAAGCCGGTGTATCAGGGCGTCGCTGCCTTGTGGTTTCAATGTCAAAGCTTGTCATGGAATATATTTATTTGATCGTCGGATAACATGTACTATCCAATTCGATTTTCGCATTTTTATTTCGGTTACAGCAGTTTTCTGATTTGTTTGGAGCAAAAGTTCTGCATTTGATATGTGGTTAGGCCACCATAATTCTAGGATTTGGTGGCCTAATAATAATAAAACATGTTCTGAATTAATTATATAAAATATTTTAAATACATTTTCACTCCAATAATTTTTATAGATGTAAATTCTGTGTATATAGAAGTTGTAATTGCGACTATTCACTACATTCATGCAGTGATATCTCTAAATTGAATTCATTCATTCAGAAATTAATTAACACTTA